TTTGGACAGGGAATTCGTGTGTTTCAGTACACAAAAGGCTTGATTTCTGTAGTAAAAGCTCTTTTTGCCCAGACATTTAGTCGTACTCAAAATTAAAGTATTACACTATATGTTTTTGTATCTCTTTTCAAAGATGTCTTCTGTGTACATAAGCAAAAGAGTCAGGTTCCTTGTTCCTTCTCCTTTTATCCAAATGCGTGTATTCTGCAGGCTGCCCTGTCCCTTGCTGCAAATGCCTTTACTCACGGTCCTCACCAGATCAATTGTTCTTATTTTGTAATGACTTTATTGTTTCACTGAATGGCTGTGCCATCAATTACTTAACTAATCACCCAATGATCTAATCTTTAATTTAATTTAAGCCTCTTTGTTGTTTTATTTTTGAGACAGGATGTCTTGGCAGTCTAGGCTGGTCTCAAACTCACTGTGTGTCAAGGCTAGCCTCCACCTGGTGATCCTCCTGTCTTCACTTCCCAAGTGCTAGGACTATGGACGTGTTCCAGGCCATCATGCCTGACAGAACCTTTTAATTTTAAATATGCAAATACTGCATGGAAAAAAATAAATGCAATAGTAATTATAGATCTTAGGTTAGCCCAGAGTTGTATAAAGTGAAACTGTGGACTTCGGATGTTTTAGCATCAGGGCTAAATTCTCAGTGGTTAAGAGCGCTGGTTGCTCCTCCCAAAGGAGCCAGGTTTGATAACTAGTACTTACCTGGTGGCTTACAACTGTCTGTAACTCAGTCTCAGGGAATCCAATAATTTCCGGCCTCTGTAGGCATACACATGGTGCACAGAAATACATGCAAGCAAAACACCCATAAATATAAAAAAATAATTTTTGAAGAGTTTAAGGTAAAGCAAGTAGTGCAGGAAAGAAATCAGTCAAGGGTATTGCAAGAAGGGAAGAAAATAAAATATGCCCTGGCTCTTCTCTGGGTCATTAAGGGTTCTATGAGGAGGCCATCATCTTGATGTCTATGGGTGGCCAGGCTAAGAAGTCCTTTGTAAACAATGGAATTTTTTTTTTAAATTTGAGAGATACCTAGAAGAGAGGGTAAAGCATCTCAGGAATTTGACAGTTAAATTAATTTAGTTTATGCTTGGGGGGCCCAGGCGCCAGCCAGCTGGAAAAGTACCTGGCCTAAGCAGTACCTTGGGACCTGTGAGCTAAGGGTCATAAGACCTGGTGGATCACAGCCAAGGTGGGGGACCAGGCCTAAGGAGAGATTGGCTATCTCAGAAGGAAGTAGGCAAGAGGATAAAACATCATAAATAACGTTTTTATTGGAGATGAATTGTTCTGTATAAATTTGTTAAAAAGAACCCAAAATCTTCAAGTATTGTTACTAGCAAGTGCCAGTGGTGTCATAGTTACTCCAAGCAAGCAGAGTCTGTAAGTAACCCTAAGAAACTCACTGGTTCACCGAGGAAGTCTCGGAGGGAACCATTTCTCCCTAGTCATTGGTGTCATATCTGAGGTATCCTATTTAGGGTTACTACTGCTGTAAGGAAACACCATGTCTAAAAGCATCTTGGGGAGGAAAGGGTTGACTCAACTTAGACTTCCACATCACTGTTCATCACTGAAGGAAGTCAGGACAGGGATTCAAGGCAGGAACCTGAAGGCAGGAGCTGATGCAGAGGCCATGGAGGGTTCTGCCTACTGGCTTGTTCCCTTGGCTTGCTCAGCCTGCTTTCTTATGGAACTCAGAACCACCAGTCCAGAGAGAGCAGCACACACAATGGGCTGGTCCCTCCCCTATCAACCACTAATTTAAAAAATGCCATTGCAGGCTAACCCACAGCCTGATCTCATGGAGGTGTTTTCTCTCCATTGCAGCTCCCTCCTCTGCAATGATTCTAGCTTGAGTCAAGTTGACATAAAACAAGCCCAGCACACTGGGGTGAAGAGACATATGGTCATGTCTCCCCAGGGAACAGGAAGAAAAGGCAGGAGACAGAGGCGAGAACATCCACCGCCAGCTCAGAGTGGACCAGCACCTGGTGGACATCCCATGATAGAACTTGACCCTGACGTGGTGACGTCCTAGAGAGAGTGGGTCATCCTCTCAGTAGAACCTGATGATGCAAGGTGCAAGGTCACTGTGAAAGAGTAAGAGATGGTTTGCTCTGAGCCAAGTGTCAGTGACCATAGCCCAGGGGTCCTGAATGGCGTGTCCTGCCATGGAAGTGCTTACATAGGCTTCTTTTACAATGGTTTATTTACGTATGAGTGTATATGTTTACCTGTGTGGGTTTATGTGCACCACATACATGCAGAAGTCCAGGGGAAACAGAAGAGGTCTTTAGATCCCTTGGAACCAGAGTTACAGGTGCTTATGAGCCACTGTGTGGGTGCTGGGAACAGAAGCCGGGTCCTCTTGGGCTATGAGCCATCTCTCCACCCCCTAATAAACTTTTATTAGTCACAGACAAGGAGAAAGTCCCAAAGCAACACATTTACTGACTACACTGGTGAAGGCCATAGGGAGGTGGTTTAAGCAGATCAGGACGTTATCTGATGACATTTCTCAGCTTGAATTGGTAGAAGCTAGTGGTCTCCTAAAAATTTTAAAAGTTTACTGTTACACACACAGATGGACAATGAATAACTAATATGTGATGTGGGATTCCCCTCTGTATGCTGTGAATACCATTGGTTAATAAGAGACTGTCTTGGGCCTGTGCAGAGCAGAATAGAGGTAGGCAGGGAAAACTAAACTGAATACTGGGAGAAAGGGGCGAGTCAAAGAGATGCCATGTAGCTGCCAGAGGGGAAAGGCACCAGCTGCCAGGTGGAACCTTGCTCGTAGGCCACAGCCTCGTGATAAAATATAATAGAAATTGGTTAATTTAATATGTAAGAGGAATATGCTATAGTGATGGACCAAGCAGTGATTTAACTAATACAGTTTCTGTGTGGTTATTTCAGGAGTCTGGGTGGCTAAGAAACACAGCCTCCTCCAACAAATATGGCGACTGAAGATAACGTAAGATAATTTTGACTATGAATCAACAAATTTAAAGTTCTCATCACGAAGTTCTAATTGGTCGGTCTCCCTTGTGACACTTTAACCTAGGTGTGGCTTTTTCTTGTTCACGTAGATACTGTCAAATCCAAGTTCTGGCCATTAGTCAAAAGCCAGCACTCCTCAGGACCTGGTGAAGCAGGTTCCCCTCTACCACTGGCAGAAGGGAAAATGGCTTCTGGCCTCCAGGCTCCCTCAGTATCACCAGAACCTAGCACTTCTGCCTCTACTTCCACCCCGCCCCCTTCTCAGATAACCCTGCTATCTCAGCTATGCTCTTCTCTCTTTGCCCATCTCTCTCGGGTCTCTTCCTCCCACTCTCCCCTTCTCTCTGTTCTCCTTTCCTGGTCCAGCCTGCGCTGAGTCTACTACATTCTTTCTCTGCTCTGGACTCTTCCAGATGCCTCTGCATGTATTATCCCTTGTATCTACACTAAAAACCCTTCCACTTAACCATAACATAACCAGTGATGTCATCAGTGTATGCACCCCTCTGGTGGGGACTATGGACCCCCAGACCTTGAATTCCTATGCCCTCTCCGCCTGCCGGAGTAAACAACTTGTTATGCTTGCAGCTGCTCTGAGTAAAACAACTTGTTTTTTTGTGTTTGCAGCTGCTCTGAGCATGAGACAGGGGAGTGGTTTCTGCTGGCTTGCAGCTGAGAGCTGGAGCATGGCTGTTAGTCAAGGAGATCTATATAAGGTGCCCTGGAACACAATAACGGGGGTGGTCTTGATTCAAGTTGGCATTCTTGTTTCAAGGATGATCCATATCTCTCTCTGTCTCTGTCTCTGTGTGTGTGTGTGTGTGTGTGTGTGTGTGTGTGTGTGTGTGCCTTGCCTGGCTTGCAGACCATCCCTTAGTGCAGGTGCTACACCCTTCCCTGTCTTGGATGATATTCTACCGTTTATTATGAATACTGGCATCAGAACAATAAAAAAAAGCACAATACATAAAGTGGGTTTTTTGTTTGTTTTGTTTTGTGTGTGTGTGTGTGTGTTTTGGTTTTTTGAGACATGGTTTCTCTGCAGCTTTGGAGCCTGTCCTGGAACTAACTCTTGTAGACCAGTCTGGCCTCAAATTCACAGAGATCCACCTGCCTCTGCCTCCCGAGTGCTGGGATTAAAATTGTGCGCCACCACTGTCTGGCCAATATATGAAGTTTTGGCATCAAATTTAATGAAAAAAAAATCTTGATTTTCAGAGCAGGGGACTTGAGGATTAAGGATAGGGTTTTAGGCTGCTGATCTCGTTATTTTATCTTACATGTAGACTGTGTCAGGTGAAGGAAACTGGAAACACTGGTGCAGCTGTATCTTCTAGCCCTTTCTGTCCTCAGGCTGACCCAGGTTATAAGTCTGGTTAGCCCCACTAATATGGACACTAATTGTCAGAGCTGAGGCTAGAATCCAGGGCCTCAAATTTTCCTTCCTTCCCTGAGGACAGGGGATCTGAACTGTTGGGCACACCCCGTGCTTTCTCGGTGCTCATGGTGTGCAGAGCGTGAGCTCCAGCTGAGCAGTGAAGCCTCCTGAAATAGTGGCTGCTGCTTCAGACACTCAGAACCTAGGGGCGGATGGCCTATGTCGAGGTCACCTTTTGGGACAGGAGTGTATCCACTTTATGATGGTTCTGACATTGTGTTTGGATGTAGAGAACTTACTGTGATTTCACAGACTGGTAAATGGGACTTTGGGCTTTATAGCTGGTGCCAGAACAAAACAAGACTTTTGGGATGAACTTTGGAACAAGTTAAGATTTGGGGATGGAGGGCCGGGCGGTGGTGGCGCACGCCTGTAATCCCAGCACTCGGGAGGCAGAGGCAGGCGGATCTCTGTGAGTTCGAGACCAGCCTGGTCTACAGAGCTAGTTCCAGGACAGGCTCCAAAACCACAGAGAAACCTTGTCTCGAAAAAAACCAAAAAAAAAAAAAAAAAAAAAAAGATTTGGGGATGGAGTATTTTAGACTGTGAGGAGGCAAGGATGGGGTGCTATGCTTTAAATATAGTGTGTCCTTCCCCAAGCCAGTCTTTGCTATTTGCTTGTGACAGTGCTGAAGGTGGTGACGCCATCGGGAGGGTTAGCTCATTCAGAGGGGTGGTGCTTCCTGTGGACTGCAGACTTGTTCAGAAGACTATGGGCTGTCACAGAGCAATCCCAGCTGCCCACCGAAGCTGCAGTGACCCTCACTAGAAGCCTGTAATTCTCCCCATCTCAGGCAGGACGTCTTTTCCATGGGGCTCCCGCAGCGTCTAGGCCTCTGGGAGTGCAGGTTCACTGCTGCTCTCTAGGGTCCTCAGGACGTCAGCTCCACGGCCACACATGTCCTCTCTCTGTTCCCTGTCACTGCTGCTTAACTTCTACTGTGAGATACATCTAGGACAGAGAAATTGTGAAACTCAGGTGAATATAACTGCTAACACTTGGGAACAATGACAGGCCCATTCTGATGACACCCTCTCACCATCTTCTCCATTTAGACAAGGACAGATAAAGTCACTGCTCCACTCTCAAAGTCACACTACTTCCTGGAAGAACTAAACTCACCCCAGATATCTGGAGGTGTGTATCCCTCTGTCTCTCTTCTTTGTATTTTAAATGTAGAAATATATTTCATAAATCCTTGTGCTGACCTCTGTGTACCATTTGGTAGCCTTTCTTCCACTTTGCCATCTTTTTATATCATAAATCATGCAGGCTTGAAAGGCTTTACTTCAAAACAAAGGTCCGGAAGGGGTTGAGAGGAAGCTCAGCAGTTAAGAGCACTGGCTGCTCTTCCAGAAGACTGGGATTCAGTTCCCAGCACCCACACAGCAGTTCACAACTATTGCTAATGTCCAAGGGATCTGGCGTCCCCTTCTGGCCTCTATGGGTACTGCATGCATGAGATGCACTTATAGGCCAAAAAAAAAAAAAGTTCATGCGTTTCCATTCTCCTCCCGGTGAGTCAATCTATTCACTGTAAAAGCTACACCTTAAAAAAAATCCCATCTAGGGAGCTGGAGAGATGGCTCAGTGGTTAAGAGCACCTCCTGCTCTTCCAAATGTCCCGAGTTCAATTCCCAGCAACCACATGGTGGCTCACAACCATCTGTAATGAGATCTGTGCCCTCTTCTGGCCTGCAGGCAGAGTACTGAGAATACTGTATACATAATAAATAAATAAATCTTTAAAAAAAATCCCATCTATTTTCTTACCTGTAAATAAAGTAAGATGCAGGAAATGTGTCCACATTGGCTATCTCCAGAGGGAACCAGATGAATGGAGACATGGAGGAGAAGGGCCACTCTCTGCACTCTTGCTTGTAAACATCTGAATGCATCACCTATTTCAAAAGTTTACAAAAGAAAGCGGATGTGTTCCAAATGCAAACCTAGTCAGGGCAGAAGAGAGCACGTGCGCTTAACTTAATTCCATACCCAGATAAACCATGGCCAATATTTTTTAAAGATTTTTCTTTAGCTTTTTTTGAGACAGGATCTCTACATAGTCTCTCCTGTCCTGAAGCTCACCACATAGACCAGGCTGGCCTTGAACTCACAGAGACTCCGGCACCTCTGCCTCCCGAGTGCTGGGATTAAAGGTGTGCCCCATCACTGCCTACTAGGCTGCACTTTCAAACATCTGTGTGCAGGACTTAGAAGAGACAGGTGGCTGTGCTCCAGATCTGGAAGAGATAACACTGGAATGAATTGAGTGGTCTTGTGTAGTGTTTAGACTTAATGTCACTTACCTCCATAGACACAAACACTTCCTACCTGTCCCCAGCCCCTTCAGCCTTCAGGCTGACTACCACCATAAAAACCACTAAAAGCAGAGGACCTTGCCAGGAAGAACCAGCCCAAGCATCTTGAGCTTGTGTGCCTACCACATGCTGTTGGACCTTGGGCGGGCCACGCTTCTGTAGAACGGAGAGAGTGACCTCCCGCCACCAGAGCCTTTTTGTGGGAGGTGCAAACACGGCTGTGGTGGTGAGAGCATAAAACACCAGGTGCACATCAGGCTTTAGTGTGAAATTCTGACCTCCGTCTTAGGGACAAGGGCACATGGCCAAGCCAGCTGTGCCAGCCGCGTTCTATTTGCGGCCCCTGGAACTCACGCCTGGGTGCGTTCTCCAGCATCAGCACTTCTACTTTTATGACGGAGGGATGCAGAGTTCAAAAGCACTGAGGGGGGCAAAGGTGAAGAGCCAGAACTCGGACTCTCCTGCTACGTGCTCGAGAGTACAGTGCACAGGTCCTTTGGAGGAATGTCTGGCACTATCGATGAAAGCGGGCTGCATGAATTACAATCACTGAACAAGGTCTCTGCTCATTACAGAGTGGGCACAAACATGTTGACAGAGGTTTCTGTCCAGCCTGGTCCCACAGCCATTTAATCCCAAAGAAACACACAGAGGTCTACACTAATCAAAAACTGATTGGCCTAATAGCTCAGGCTTCTTATTAACTGTTATAACTTACATTAGCCAATAATTCAGCCATGTGACTTGGTACCTTTATCAGAGAGGCATTCCCATCTTGCTTCCTTTGCATTTGGGTGATGACTGCAGACTGCGACTTTCCTCTTCCCAGAATTCTCCTGTTTTTGTCACCCTGCCTATACTTCCTGCCTGGCTACTGGCCAATCAGTGTTTTATCAAAACAATAGAATATAAGTGACAAGGTACAAGGCTATTGTCCCATAGCACTTCCCCCCTTTTTTTTCAAAACAACAACTCTGAATCCAATCTCCTTTGTTTAGTTTTTTTTCTGACTATTATCCATAACAACTTGTAACCAACATTCTAAACAAAGATAAATATTCATAGTCCATTTTTGCAGAATGTAGGTGTAGTTTTCCATGCTACTTCCTGCTGATTGGGGGAGCTGATAATCTTTTTTTATGGTGACTTTTTTTATTTTTCCATTCAAAAATTTTACACTTCATCCCCTCCTCCCATTCCCCTTTTGCTCCTCCACTCACCCTCCTCCCTCCCCCTCCTTAAGAAAGGGCAGGGGGCTAGAGAGATGGCTCAGAGGGTAAGAGCACTGGCTGCTCTTCCAGAGGTCCTGAGTTCAATTCCCAGCAACCACATGGTGGCTCACAACCATCTGTAATGAGATCTGGTGCCCTCCTCTGGCGTGTGGACATATAAGGAGGCAGAATGTTGTATACATAATAAATAAATAAAATTAAAAAAAATAAAGAGAGGGCAGGGTTCCCTGCCCTGTGGGAAGTCCAAGGCCCTCCCCCCTCCATTATAGGCCTAGGAAGGTGTGCATCCAAATGGACTAGGGTCCCAAAAAGCCAGGAGCTGATAATCTTATGGGGACCTAAAGAATTTAGAATTATAGACAAGTCCTGACAGGAGTATTCTATGAGGTTTGATCATCTCAGCCAGCAGTCTTGAAACTGTTCTGTATGCAGAACTCAGAGGGAACTCAAACAGAGGTCCTCTGAAATGTTGGATCATCTGGACCATCTGCTCCTATAAGAGATTCTTCAGGGGGGTCTTCCTTGGTCAAACCTGAGTTTTCTTAACCCAGAATGAAACCACAGTCTCTCATTTCCTGTGGAAACAAAAACAAAACCTCTTCTCCAAAGTAACATATCTTTTTATTTAAATTTTGAAATCAAAGCATTTTCAAAATATGTATGTTGTATTAATCCAGCAGCAAATGTCTTTCAGGAACTGTTGCTTCTTCCTCAGCCATCAAACCATTCAAAGACAACACAATAACCTACAGTATTCATATTTTCTGTGTATTTCCCATCTTTACATGGCTTTATTTTAAACTCTATTTCTTTTATTTTTAATTTTTGATTTTTTTGAGACTAGATGTCTCTGTATATCTTTGGCTATCCTGGCACTCATTCTTTTTTTTCCAATTAATTAGGCATGCACACGTCACTCACACACAGCACAGAGACATTCAGACATAGTTACAGGCACAGACAGACACACAGTACAAACTCACTTACCTGGGATTCGAACCGGCGATCTCAGGCTCTGCAGGCGGTGCTCCATTCCATTCAGCCAGCGCTCTGACCTTTCCTGGCACTCATTCTATGACTGGTTGTCCTTGAACTCACAGAGATCCATCTGCCTCTGCTCCCCAAGTGCTTGGATTAAAGGTGTGTGCCACCACACCCAACTATTCTCTTTCTTTCTTTTTTAAGGACTTTTTCCTTTTCCTTTTCTCTCCCAAGCCACCATATATTTGGCCATTGTCCCACAGCACAGGCACAAGCATGTGCACACCCAAAGACCTGATATGAGGATGTTCCAGACACAAGTATATGTCATGTGAGTCCTAAACTAGAAACTACCCACGTGCCAATTCCATGCACAAAGACTCCTGCCCAATAACGAGGATGGTGTCGATGTCACAAACATGCCGAGCAAAGGCAGCCTGGTCAGTCCATGCTTGCTTCACCTGCGTCTCTCGCAGCATCACAAACACCCCAAATATAGTCTTAAAGCAAGAGTCATGGATCATGGACTAACACCAGGCTGTGTTGAGCTGAGGCCCACAGTGATATCATTCATACGACCTCGTTCCTGCAGTATAGAGGGCTGTGAGGGTCAAATTAAAGTCACCAATGATGTTCACATTTCACAGATGGGAAAGCTGAGGCCCAGCGACATGCAGCAATTTGCCCACAGTTACAAAACATAGGAAAGGGGGGCAGAATTTAATGTGGGTGTGGAACAGCACAACCTACTAGTTCCCCGTCCTGCACCCGTCTGCTGCTAGGTCTTGGTTTCTAGAATATTTTCAACTTATGACAAATCAGAGATTTAATCTCACACATCTCAAAATTCCTTATGGTTACTAAACCTAGTAAAATAGTTATGTAGGAGATTAAAGAGGCTCATTTCTCTTTCTGCAACAGTGTGGCTAGGCTGGCAAACAGAGCAGCTCAACTCATGGTGCCCCAGGGCCCTGGCCACCCAACCGTTCTGACCTCATATGGGCTGCAGAAGCATTTATCAAACCCCCGAACTCCTCTAGTGGGGTAGTGGGGGTGGGCCCGGGGGGACATCCTGACCCACACATTCGCATGCCTTTCAAGCTGATTGGTGAGTGCAATGACCATAATTTCCAAGATATCCCCAAGGCACACCTGGCTGGAATGTAGAATTAACTGGCCAGCCTGTGCCAGGATGTGCCAACTTTGGGCAAACAACTAGCAATCTTTGTAATTGGGGGGGTGTGGGCAGGTGGTGTGAGCCCCTGACCCCTGCTCTACCTCCAACATGCAGGGACACAGGCCCCTACCACCACAGCCGACTCTAGTGCTTATGATGAAACTGCTTTGAAGGACCACTCAGAATGGCCAAGGTCCTACTCCTCAGTGCTGAGAGGTTACACTCTCCAAGTAACCTGAGTCCTGCACTTTGCTGCTAACCCTAGGCTACGTGAAGACCATTAATAATTGCCACCCATTTTCCTTAGTGTATGTTTATCCTAATGGTAAATGTTAATATATAAATGTGTTTAAATTTCAATCTATAACTGACAAGAGACTTTTCTGGAACATTTCCTTATATGAACGTAGGGGGCGGCCTCTACAACAAAGAGTTCATGACTTTTAAAAGGCTCTTTGAATGTGAGCTTTTGCTCATCTTTCTGCTTCTCAGGCACAGATCGGAAATCTGGCATCAAGCACACAGCAGAGTTCAGGAAGGGACGATATTGGTGCGGAATCCTCTAACTCACCAGGGGACCCCGCCCAACCCGCTCCTTTCTTACGCCTCCGTCCAGAAGAATCTGTCAGCGGTAGCACTATGCATCCAGCACACACTAGGGTTTCCTTGTCCTAAGAGGTGATCTGTCTACTGCACCCAGGAACCCATTAGAGCCAAGGGGACAGCTCAGTGGCATAGCAGGAATGCTATGTTTAATCTCCAGAAGTAGATAAATAACAAAAAAAAAAAAACAAACCTAACATCATGGTCTATAAATGTCTAAAATAGCCAAGGCAAAAGGGGGCAGAGGACTGCCTAGCTTCAAGTCTGTCTTTCCCCTTCCTATGCTTATAACTGTGGTCAAAGTGCTGCATGTCTCTGGGCCTTGGCTTTCCCATCTGTGAAATGGGAACATCATTTGGCATTTAATAAGACTCTACTTAGCCTACTGTAGGTATTCAATGAAGTAACTCCCCCTTACACTACTCCCTTGTCATCCAAAAATCAGGGAACTGAAAGGCTGAAAGATTAGAAAGTAAGACAGATGAGGGAAGGCAAATGTTTATTGTGAAGGAGCATTCAGTCTAGACAAGACTGTGTGACTCCCTTGCAGCTTGCCCTCAGGAACAGCCCTGTGAAGGTCCTGAGTACCTTATTACCTGGGGACAACAGGAGAGAGAGAGGAAATGGCAGCCAGCTCTGAACCATGGACAGGCATGATCCACAGTGACACAGGTGGCCATTCTCTGGCCAGGCCTCGGGTGTCTTATTTTAGGACTCATCCAAAGCAAAATGGACTTCTGAGCTCCAGGCCTAAGACTGGACTTGTGGGAGCTGCACAGTGGCCTGGACCCTCCTCACTGAAGGGTGCGCGGTTGCTGGACTCAGCTGAATCCATCTCTCTGTGTTCCACGTTCTGTTCCAGAGATGACTCCTTTGCCTCTGGCCATTCCCAGGGGTGGGAGGAAGGGAGGATGGAGGTGTACAGTGTTTCTTATATAAATAAAAATACCCAAATTACAGACGCATATTTCTTAGCCTTAGTCTCCCATCCCCTCTGCCTTTTGGAACATGGGGCAGGCTTAATAATCCCTGTAATTGGGGCCGTGTCCTTGTTCTTGTTTGCGTGCCCCTGGGCTGCACAGGCCCAGGGAGTTAGACGCCTTTGC